GGAGTGGGAGTGGGAGTGGGAGTGGTCCCAAGAGACTGTTATGTGGTACTTTGCCCCTCTCCGTATACACATGGCTTAGTTTGTGCCAACTCGAGAACTGCGAAGAGGAACAACCCCAAGTGCGCATGAAAATGCAGGTGGTGGTCGACGATTTCCCATGGGCTGCCGACCGAGTCACCGGGTTTCCGGTGTTTGTCGGGTTGAGCTTTGGATTCTCAAGGTTTTAGAAGGGCACTGTAGGGCTTTGTAAAGGGAATCCGCGTTTGGCTGTTGCGTTCTCGGGGACTTTGGGTTGGAGGGGGAAGTGCCGCGTGGTAAGCAGTAAAGTGTTGCTATGGATGCTTTCGGTGTAGATCTGCAGAGGCGCGGCAGTCTGAATCACCGACTCTTCGCTGATCAGTTTAGCGTCCCCTAGGCCACCAAGCCCAGTTGCCAAGTCTGGGCTCTAGGCATGTTAAGATGTTGGGGTTTAGGGTCTTGGAAGCAGAACTTAGGGGCTTACGGGTTTCGAGTGGTTGAGGGTTTAGACTCTGAGACTTAGGATTTGAGGCTGAAGGCAAACCCTAAACCCCAAATCCTAAACCCTAAACCCTAAACCCTGGAACGGAAGCCGGGACCGAGCTCTCTGCTGTTGGAACTCGGACTTGAGGTCTGCGTTGTTACCCTGGGCAATTGGGTAGTTGTCAAAATTGTGGTCCCTTTTGGGGTACCCTGAATATTTTTATAAGAATCCAAAAAAAGGGGCCATAATTTTGACAACCACTCACTTGGAGGTTCCTGGGTAGTTGTACGTGGAGCGTTAAGTGATATATGAGCTATGAATATAGTTATCCTACTAATAACATGAGCTATGAATATAGTTGTCCTATACTAATAATATGAGCTATGAATCTAGTTATCCTACTAATAACCCTTACTTATAACTAAGCATGAACCTCCAAGCAGGTGAGTGCAATCCAGGAAATCGGGGGTGTAGGGCGTGGGGATTAGGGGTCGAGCCGAGCATACACCCCCGCACCCCCTTAACCGCTTCGGTGGGTGTAGCGCGGTCTACCGAATGCCCGGTAGTCGTGCCGGGGTGACATACTACGTCAGAGCTATCCCACGAACGATGACAGCAGTACCAAAAGCTGCGAGTTGTATACGCATACAAATCAAGCATCATCTCGACAAGGAGGAAGAAAAATAAAACCAGTAGCAACCTTCATAGCAGCAGCAGTCCCAGCAGCAGCAGCGACAAACACAACAACGACCTACAACCAGAGACGGCGTGAAAAATCTTTTCTCTACACAGAGATGCCAGGAGAATACAGTGCCATCGACAACTTCCTGCTGTCGCAGGCGTCTTGAGAGGTGTCGGGTTCAGAGCATTGAAAGGAGCAAATAGTCGTAGTGCTAGCAGGAGCAGCATGTGCAACGACCATCTTCATACCCATAAAGCACAAGGGTCAAACTGAAAAAACTGACAAAATGATAGGAACGTAGAGTAGCAAAGCCATTCTGTTGCTGTTTGTGTCGGTGTGAAATATCAAAGCATGGCAGTCGCGGCAGTGAAGACAACAGCGACGTGGCATCCACGCGGATACAATGGCGACGGCAATAGTACCCTTGAGGCCGCAACCAAGCCTCTGCAAAGCCCCTTGCAGCCTCGAAATAAACCCTAAACTCCACATCTTACACCCTAAACCCTAAACCCTAAACCCTGAATCCCCCTAGACCCTAAACCCTGGTCACAGCCGAGAGAAGCACCGACATGCGCTGCGGGTTGCGCTGGGCTGGATCTTTCAGGCCCCTGCAGTCGAGGCCATCATGGCAGGGACAAGGCTGTAGGGTTCAGGCTTCAGGGTTTAGGGTTTAGGGTTCAGGGGGTTTTAAGGGTTTAGGGTTTAGGGGCTTAGGGTTTAGGGTTTAGGGGTTTAGGGGTTTAGGGTTTAGGGTTTAGGGTAGGGTTTAAGACTTCATGGTACAAGCAAGCTGGCTTAGAGTTGCTACCATTCGTGCCTCGTCGTGCCTGCTGTTGCCAATGATAGCTACTACTGACTACTGTTTTATGTTTGGCTACTTCCTGATGACGACATGACGATCTGTTCAACTCTCGACGGGGTGCGTCTTGCTGCTTGCCAGTGGCTACTATATCTCCTGCTTGCCACTCCAAGGTTCAATCCTAGCTGTTAGGCTACATGATGAACATCTCTTAGAACACGACCGAAAAGCAACGACGACTTCGACAACAACGCCAACGACGCCGCGAGTCTCAGTCGCTGGTGCAGCAGCAGCGGCGGCAGCAGCAGGAGCCCCCACAAAAAGAAAAAGACAAGTCGCCGGAGCAAGTGTGCGACAGCTGAGAATTGTATACAACTGCGTGCACCATCAATATGAACACACACCATGCTTGCACTCTGCCTCCTTGTTTTTGCGTAAGTTCAACCAAACCGCCGCAACATGTGTGGAGGCTGGTAGAAAGTCTGCTGAAATAAAGTGAGCCGTCAAGTAAAGTCATCTACAGAAACCCACACCGAAGCAAGACCCAACAGTGCTAAATTACTTACGCAGGGCCTGGACCCAGGCCTTGCGTGCCAAGTCCTACGGCCTGGAACCCACAGGCCTTCCACCACGCACGTTCGAGTCATCGTGCTTGGCTGAAGTGGGCTCCAGATTGAGCGCCTGAGTCGCAAGGCTCAGGGTTCTTCGGACGACGGACTGGAGTTCATGGCTTTGCTGTAAGGCTTTAAGCTTAAAGGTACAGGCTTCGGACTTCGGTTCAGGAGTCAAGAAACCGAGGGCTCCATGGATGCAAGGGCGCTTGCGACGAGAACTTCGAGGGTCGTCCGGAAGCTTGGAGTCTACTTACAGGATCATGGGACTTAGTAAGTAGGGTTATAATTAAGGTATCTATACTTATAACCCCAATTAGGGGACTTCTAACCTTACTTACTGAGTCCCATGATCCTCCAAGTAGGCCATGCTGGGAAGGAGCCGCCTCAACGCCGATCTGCTCTGCAGCGAAGATGCGCAGAATGTGGCAGAAGTCCCCCCCTGCCCCTGATCAGAAAACGAACACCTGAACTCTTAATCCCACAATGCACTTTCTCCCAACACCTATGCCGAGCTCCCAGCATTGATCCTCTTCATCTCCGAGATCATGCCTTTTCGGCCACTTCCTGTTCCGGCATTGGAGCTCGCAGGCATTGCTGCTTCGGATGAACCCTTGCCCCGACATCTGTCTTGCTCCTAAGCCCTTGAATCCCGCACTCCAGAAGAAAACCCTGAACTGCCCCAGAACCCACCCCTAAACCCTAAACCCTAAACCCTAAACCCTAAGCCCTAAACCCTAAACCCGAAAACGAGGCAAGGAGGTTTTTTTGAACCCGACGAGAAAACCCGGTGGCTTCCGCAGGGTTGGGAGCAGGGTTCCGGGCTTCAAGGCTCTTCGGGGCTCGGGGCCTTGGGGTTGAGGGTTGAGGGTTTAG